ACAATACTGTTTCTATACAATTAGAGACTTTGCCGATTATTAAAAAGAAAGTAATTTTCATTTTAACGATGATAATTAATGTATTAATTACCTTTTCGGCTGTATAATTCTCAACAACCTGCAACAAATATTGTATTTCAGCTTCTGGGTCTATGACCTAATGTATTTAATTTTATAGTGGTTTATTTTCAAAAAATGTCTAAGGTATACAATAGGGTGTATTTTAATGTGACAAAATAAAAATTCTAAGATTGAGCTCTTTTAGTTATGCCCTTCGCTAGTGCAGTGCCTATGTGCAAGTCCTAGTGCATTACGCTGGAAATTGCCTTAATTTAATAGTGCCATGATAATCGTATTCATTCGCTCGTTGCAATTTCCAAAATTTAATATCTTAGTCAAGTCAGCGATATTTGTGTTTAACAGAATAAATGTCTTAGGGATTTTCTTTCGGATTATTAGTAATACTCCATCCTACGTTTGAAATTGTGTGTAGAATTTGAGGGGGTATAAATTCATCTTACACGACTGAAACAATCATTTATATAGTTACTTAATCAATACACTAGTTAGATGTTTTAAAACCTGTTCAACTACGTAAAATTATTTTTCCTACGATTTCGGATTCTGCGAATTGCACCGCGCTAAATCACTACAACGAATCATTCTCATGCTACCAATAGAGCATCACTCCACCCAGCGACACATGTGGATACAATTCACCATTGCTCCTCTCATTTCCCTCACGCCTACATATTCGGCTGATGGATGTTCGTGTTCTCGAACACTGCAAATAACAACATCGGGAATCAATATGTGATTCCTAGTACATGATCGTATCAAAGTTCAAGCTTTTTTAACACAGCACCTCTCAATAGGTTGTCAATGGATAGTTGCTGTCCATCGCTTGTTCGTAAATGGCTTTTCCAATACGAGCGAATCATTACATAACTATAATCAACAGTTCGGTGCCAGTCACTAGATAATCCAATATTTCACGTAAACTTTTCATTAATACATCAGTAGTTGACAGTCATTCATTACTATTTTTTACCCATTTCGGTTGGAATGCGAAAATTCCTGAAGTGATGTGTAAGCATACTTTGAGAACTCTAATATATTTAACTTAAAAATATTTTGATAATTGTTTATCTGAGGTATATTGTATTACAAAACTACTTGTCATTGATAAAAACAATTTTGTTATTAAAAATGCCTATTTCAAGCAGCTATGTATTTTATGAAAGAAGTTTCCTTTTTCTGAAAAAGCATTGCCAAAAAATTATAAAAAATATTTCATGAATGTATGAATGTGGCAGATAAATGAATCTCATCGCACATTAGTGAAATTGATTTCACAAGCAAATGACATGCGATATCTCAAAATCTATTGTTTTTGTTGAGATCAAGAGTGAAATTTCAATTACATAGAAAATATCCTACATGGTAATAGAAATCATATCCTACATGGTAAAATCTCAAAAGAAAGAGAAATCCGAGGAGAAAATCAGAGTAAGGTCTCAAATTCAGAGTAAAATTACTTTTCCGAGGTGATAACCACAAAAAATGTTAACCACAAAAGATTTTAAGAACAATAATATTCTAGAGTAGTATTATTTTCGTTTAATTTTACTGAAATATGATAGATTTTTTACGAAAGTCAAAATGAATAATGCGCATGTTATTGAGAAACTAAAAATTAGTGATTTTCATAGTTTTATTTAAATTGATTTTCCATCATTTCAATTCAAAGTGGATGGTATTTGCTGTCTACAAAATGAAACAACTCTCCTTGATTTGTATGCATTTTTTCTTGATTACTTTCTGTGTGACTAAATTTTTTAAATATTAATTTTCAAATGCAGATTGATTTACCACTCAGTACGTTTGTAGTGAAATACTGACTTTTAAGATATAACTAAAAACATGCGAGAAGCACTTAAGACAAATGAATGCCATCATCATCAACTAAAGTATTCCTTTATTCGTCATTTTTGTCTCATTCTGAAGACAAACGTCAGAGTCTGAATATGAAGTCAAACATTGGATCAAAATATTACTGTAGAAGTATTGACAACTATTTATCTTTTAGATGTTAATATTTTTCTTTGTTTATTTAATGAATCTAGTAGTATTCCACACAATTTTAGCAAGCTCTTTCTCGGAAATTAAAATTCAAAACTTTTTTATAATATTAATTTGATTGAAATATGATTGGTAATATTAATTGGGTTGAAAATAATTGTATTGACTTAAAAAATGCGGTCACAATTCTTCACAACAAAATCTACGTTCACTCGCCAAATTATTCAAATCCATCTAGTTATTCATTTATTCTGTCACTGTACGTCTCTAAACGCATCGGAATATTATCCCTTTTGTGAAATTTTCGATAGTCACGGCCTTTTAGCAGACAGTGATATCTTCTGCTACATAAATAAGTCAGTCATTTCTGTTGATATTCGTACGCTCTGAAGATCAAGCACTTCCCGCAAATGCGGAGGTGACAGTGGCGGGTCTAGGCAGCGTACGCCTTGTGACAGTCGACAGGCGTTGTGTTCCGCGGCGAGAGAGGAGGGGAAGGCGAAGCTGGGGAGGGGGTGGGGAGGGGAGGTTTCCGTGACGGAAATGGATCACCGCACTGTTGACGCTTTTTACGGAGCTGCGGGGCGGGCGGCGGGGGTCGCCCTCCGGTCCTCCGCTCGCGACCTCCCCGCGGCCCAGAGGCGCGAGTGCGGCGGTAACAGCCCGCCTGCGCCGCGCCGAAGTGAGCGGATGCACATGAGAAATGCGGGTGTCGAAAGGCGAGAGGTAAATGCGAACGTTTGAGTGAGCGAGCGAGTTAATCACTGCGGGAAAGTGACAGCGAGACGGGTAAAAAAAAAGTGGGAAAGCGAAAATGGTGAACATACTACTAACCGTTTTGCTTTCTAAGTTAAGTTTATTTCATTGACAGCATTTGAGTTTATTCCTAATTTAATTTATTATTAATGTAGTACTTTATTATTTTTATTATTTTCCATTTATTTATTTGATTGACCGTCAAAAAAAGTTAAAGACTGTGTGATGTACTGTGGGAAGTGCAATATGTGCATGGTTTCTTGTACTCTGGGACGTCTGTTCTGGTTTTAAGATGAATTATGAATACATGTGGTAACGAGACTTTTTGGCAAGAATTGATATAAAAATATTCGCTCCCGAAAAGTGAAAACTATATGCAATGGTAAATCAGCTACAGAGCTAAGCTGTTATCCCTAGTGCTATGTGTGAATGAATCGATTCTTTTCAGATTATCATTAACATATTGAAAAATAAATACGTGAACGATTAAGATTATTATTATTATTATTATTATTATTATTATTATTATTATTATTATCATTATTCAAAATGATGGAAGAATGGAGATCAACTAAATTAGAATTTTATTGGGAACCATTTGGAAAATGGCAACGAGGAAGACCACTTGCATCATCGAAACAAGAAATTATAAATTTATTGAAAGAGAAAAATTTAAACGAAGATGATAGTCTGTTATAATAGAAAAAAAATTGTAATTGTTGAGAAATTGGATAAACGTGTAAACATTTCTAAAACATGAAATATACATAATTATGTGAATGAAACTACCCATAATTTACAAATATAATAACGCAACCAACAAAGACGAAGACTTTTCCTAATAACATGTTAACCTAAAAAGTTATTTAGAAGAGTACGTATCAGGTAACTTTTGAAAGTTCTGAAATTCTCAGAAGCCTGAGTACTGAGCTGTTATTTTCTTCCAACTGCCGCAGGGAGGTGTTTGAAAGCTTCTGATGGGTAGCTGTCTCTCATTTTCTAGAAAGTTTATTTGTGGACCTTTACTTTGAACAGGATTTATTCAAGTGAACGCCGTAACTGAGAAGCATTCCAAGTATCAGCCTTTTATCTTTGACTCGCTGTTCTCGTCGATGCGGCTAAAATAAGACTTTAAGAGAGAAACGTCAGTTTGCCCATCGTGGGATTTTATGTTGAAATATGAGTAGCAAATACATGGGATAATTGGTTTTCTAAGCGTTCATAACATATCTTAGAATTTTCATAGATTATCTTTGAGCAAAACATTACTGGTTTTCTAGGCTTCAGAGTTGAGTAGATATTGACCATATGCAATTAATACTGTCGTATCTCAGTTCGAAAACATCTGCAAGAATGTCATGTAGTTATACCACATCTTTTCAATTGAAATTATAAGATTACACACTAATTCACCAGTGAAACTATGGTAAAAATATTTCACTGTCTAGTTGACAAAAGTAAATTGGGTAAGTGAATTTTGTTACATTGAGAGAGGTGACTATAATAACTTCCTTTAGGATAATTGAGAGTGGACGAAATTAGATAGTTATACTAATACTAATATTAATAATAATAATAATAATAATTATTATTATTATTATTATTATTATTATTATTATTATTATTACTATTGTTCTAGTTCACAACTAAAGATAGAGTCGGCTGAATATAAAATCTACTCCAGGTTGCAAGAAGTTTCCTAAGGAGCAGATTTAGGGACTATCGGTGCCTTTACAATACTTCGCTTAAAATGTGGGCTGTTCCCAATAATGCAATGGCAAGCTCTTATCAGTCTTTTGAATAAACTGAGAGTGTAGCTGAGTTCTTACACAAATGTTTCGGAACATATCCCAGAGCTTCGATAACTATCGTGACGACCGTGTTTTTACGTCTCTCATTCGGCTAATTTCGGCTCGATTTCCAAACTCTTGAATTTATGACGTTTATTATTATTATTGTTACAATTATTGTTATTATTACTTTTTTATTGTTATTATTATTACTGTTGTTATTGTTATTAACATTATTATTACTGTCTAAGAAGAAATCTACGACCTCTCCTTCATCGGCTTAGTTAAGGCCGTGGCAATATCAAAAATCCCAAGGAACAGTAAATACAAAGTAATCTCGTTCGCGCCCGATGTACAGTGGCGTGCCCTCACCTGCGAGAAGGAGACGGTGCGGCAGAGCTCGGGTCCGAAGGGCCAGTGCTGCAGCAGGAGCGTGGCCACGAAGGAGAAGGGCACGCACAGGAGCGTGAGAAGCACGTCGCCCACCGCCAGGTTCACGATGAAGTAGTTGGTGACGGTCCACATGCGCGGCGACGCGTACACCACGTAGCACACCAGCCCGTTGCCCAACAGCGCCAGCAGCAGCACCGACACGTAGCACACGTACACCGCCGCCTGCGCACACGCGACGCACGCCACGCTCACAGCGAAAACGCTCCTCGCGGCGTTGGCTCAGGGCGCCTGGTGATCGCCTCGGGCTCAGCGGGAGCGCACCTTTTGGTAACGTCGAGATCACCTCTAGACCAACGCTCCTCACGGCGCTGGCTCGCCTCGAGAGAGCGACTCGCCTGAAGAGAGCGGCTGGTGATCGCCTCGGGCTCACCGGGAGCGCACCTTTTGGTCGGGTCGAGATCACCTCTAGACCAACGCTCCTCACGGCGCTGGCTTGCCTCGAGAGAGCGACTCGCCTGAAGAGAGCGGCTGGTGATCGCCTCGGGCTCACTGGGAGCGCACCTCTTGTTGATGTCGAGATCACCCCTAGACCAACGCTCCTCACCGCGCTGGCTCAGGATGCCTGGTGATCGCCTCGGGCTCACCGGGAGCGCACCTTTTGGTCACGTCGAGATCAACTCGAGACCAACGCTCCTCACGGCGCTGGCTTGCCTCGAGAGAGCGACTCGCCTGAAGAGAGCGGCCGGTGATCGCCTCGGGCTCGCCAGGAGCGCACCCCTTGGTTACGTCGACATCACCTCTAGACCACCCCAAGAGCTCGTCGAGTTCACCTCGAGCTCACATCGTGATTACCTCAAGATCATTTGTATCACCTCGTGATTGCAACGATACCACGTCGAGATCACGTGGACACCGCCTCGTGATCACTGTTAATTCACCTCGTGTTTACCCCGTGATCACCTTCAGATCCCCATGAACTCGCCTCAAGATCACTTCGAGCTCACTTCGAGATAATCTCGAGTTTGCGACCAACACACCTCGAAAGCACGACGAGATCATCGTGAAATCACAACATGCTCATGCCAAGTTCCTCTCAAGCTTTCTATGAGAACAACAAACACTTTTGATAAGTTACCCAAATTCATTTGCGTTTTACCATCGATTCTTCTTCCATTCTAGAGTGTTTGTACATATTTACATATTATTAAGAATTCTTTTGCCATTTGCGAGTACGTTGTTACTTTGTACTCGTTACAGTGTACTCGCAAATGACTTTTTGGCTCATAAATACGAAACAGTTTGGAGCAGGATACACTGGAAATCTAACACCGAAAATTCATACTTAAAAAAATGTTCAATGCTACTTCAAAAATATAAAACGGGGAGGTAATATTTAACAAATAATTTTAAACATTTATTATTACGATTTGGCGTAATTTTTCAAAACTCAAAGGTTCTACTGAAAACAGCACCTGTACCATACGGCTTGGTTCATTCATGTTCTATTCTTACAAATAGATTAAATACATGATGTGTCATTTTTCTAAATATTGCTTGCTATTTTTGAAACCTTCACGCGATATATTTCCGAATTAAGAAAACCTAATGACATTCACAAAACACTATATTATATAATTTTAAGTGTGAATATTAATAAGCAGCAAGCCAAAAGAACACCTTACTCAGTGCAGTCACATTAATGTAACCATTACCTATGTTCAACGTAAACGGGTAATAATTCCCTTCAGACGGCAAGTGGCAACATTAAGAGTGGAGAATATTTAAAGCATGCCAGGTGGAAGCAAGAAACATGCAGTAGATGTCGCGACGCATAAACGGACGATAGTACGCCCGAAAGGGCATGCTCATTAGTTTTCGGGCCAAGAGCGGAAGCATTGAAGAAACTGTTAAGTTTGTAAAGTGTTCGCGTGCTGCAGTGGCTATTGAATACTACGCATGGCAAAACGGCGATATCCAAAACTGGTCCCGAGGCAATTGTGGGACCATATATGACGGGGGATAACGACGGCATCGGAAATGTGTGCGGGCAGATAGACCTGCAACAGTAGGGCAACTGACAATCCAGAAGCACCAAGGAGCTACCAAGAGAGTCTTCTCAACAATCATTCAGGGAGCGTTGCTGTGTATGTGCATCCGCAGCAGGAGCCTTGTTCATACACCCACGCAGTTCATCGGTGATGAAGGCTGTACTTTGCATGCCAATACCGCAACTGGCCCAAGGAAGATGGCGCACCTGGCCACGGCTCTGGAATCAGCACATGGCTCCACATCCCTATCGATACCATACAGAACCTAATTGGCTCTCTTTCTGCAGGTCGCACAACTGTCAACGTTGGAAAAGGAGGTTATTCACGATTTTCACTGGTGGTCATATTAATGTGACTGGACAATGTATAAGACCATTAACAAAAGAGGACGAGCATTTTGAAGAAAGTTCATTTTTTCCACGTTTCTAAAATACTGTTAATGTAATGAATAACGAACATTTACGAGATTTATATAGGCACCTTGGTTTATTTGAGCAATACGTTTAAAGGGAAAAAACCTGAGTAACTGTTATAACTTTTAAAATGTTCTATAAAATTTAAGGTACCCCAACAAATAGAAAATGCATCTTCGATAGACCAAATATTAAGTTAGATCCCTTGGAGATTCAATTTGGGAAAAATTCTTCGTACTGTTTAGGCGCTGTTGTAGCTTATTATAATATATTTGAAATTATGTTTTGGAATACTCGTGTCATTACGTTAGCTTGAAACCGCTGGAATTCCCTTTTTGGCCAATCAAGAACTTTTTAAATACTGGAATTGTGACAATTATAGTTGAAAAACTATTTTCAAAATATGTCTGAAGAATTATATATCCTCCTCCTTTTGAGGACTGTTAAAAATTAAAAAAAGATATTGAAACGCTTGGAATAAGGCACAGACATACAATATTATTATTATTATTATTATTATTATTATTATTATTATTATATTATTGTAGTTCGATTGTTTTTTATTTTAGATTGCTTCATCATTGTCTTAAAATTATAAGAGAGAAGCGAAAATAATTCTAAGGCACAATTTTTAGAGTCCTAGTATGTTTATGGTCTTGAGATATATTCCTCCTTACACTCGTTAATCAAGACTGATGCCACCAGTTGAGATTCCTTTGTCTGAGCGCTCCAAAAAGGTAGAGCTGTGCTCGGTTCTTCATTTACTAAACGAAGCCTCAGCGGGACAATCCATCGCACGAAATTTCTCGCAAATGGGGACTCGCCCACGAGCTGCGAAAGCTGCCTTTGTGTTTTGAGCAGAAAAGGTTCTCCTAACAGTGGCTCTCAAAGGCGGTGTGACCAGCATAAAGTTTCTGCTTTTTTAATTCTTAAAATTCTTTTATCCTTTAAATGGCGAGATTCGTGCTCTGTTGTTCTTAGTTTTCCTGTCATGTAAGTGGAGATGCCCGTAAGCTGTTTCTAAAATTGTGTGCCCGGACAACCTCCGGGTAGCCAGTATATTCCCAAGAGCTCCACAAAACGTTTCAAGCCGTAGTAAAAGAAATAAAATTTTCTCTATACTCCCCCCCTCTCTCTCACCCTCCCTCCCTCCCTCACTCACACACACACACACACACACACATCGAACATACACATAACACATGTAGCACTATGGGCACAAAACTACCGTAAATGTGCTTCTGCTAACTAAGGAATTATTTCGCATGGATGCATAAAATGGATTTATGATGAAAATGTAAAATTAGCTAGTGTTGGCCCTAGTTTCTTTATATCCAGTCCTTCTGAAAAAGTAAAATATCAATTTTATGTAAACTACTGTGTTTAAGAATATTACTTTTTATATAATTATTTCAAATTTTTATAAAATAATATAATTTTCTTTCGTGTTATTTTAAAGTACATTATTAGATTAAAAGTTTTATCGTTCGCACTGCTAGCGACCTCTAGTAAATCTATTAGGTTCTGTTTCATCGCGAGTGGACTCTGTCAAAATATATTAGAAACCAATGTGATCTTTGCGTCAATAGTGGTTGTGTTGCATCTACCAACATATTATTTTAATTCTTTATTTTCCGCATTTGTGTTGTATTAATCTTTACAAAAATTTGCAAGGACCCAGAAAAAATCCTGGAGACGGGCCTATAATTTTTTTTAATATTCATACACTACTTTTGATGGTACCGATGATAATTACATGTTGAATTCACTTCTATTGGTATAGTTTATACAGAAAACCAGCAAACGCAAATGCAACCCGCAAAGCATGAATGCTTCAACACTCGTTACCATCGTGGATAATGCGGAAACGATAATAATAATAATAATAATAATAATAATAATAATAATAATAATAATAATAATAATAATAATAATAATATGAAGATTTTGGTCAGATTTTGCTATTACCCGATAAATTAGGAAGTAGAAAATACCGGAGGATGACTAGGGAACTCTTTCAAAATGACTTGAAATCCTTCTTTAAAACATCATCCTATTTTTTGATCCGCATTAAACCTAGAAATGCAAACAAGCATGCATTGTGTTTAAGGCAGCTGAAACGTGTCGGTGGTTTCAGAGCAACCATGGTGTGTTAAGGGAATGAAGGCTATAACCACACAACGAGTATCCATCTGGACGTTTTTAGAACAACTGAATTACGTTCTCAGCAGATGAATTGTTTCAATCGAAACACACAACATACGAAGAAACTATTAGCAATTGTGAAGGGCGATGATTTAAAACTTGTTTTTCTTGTAACGGATCGCTCTTAAAGATCGGTATACTTCACATCCATCAGCACATTCTTGGCTCTGTCCAGATTTGTTTCCGTTCTAAGTGTTGGCCGGGCTGCAAACCATCACCGCAAGCCGTAAACGCCCTGCGGTCGAATAACGATCGGCGGTCGGAGTGTGTGGCAGCGCGCCAGGCCCCCGCGCGCTGCCCTTCGTCGCTTGGCCCTCACCGCGATGTTTGACAACGGAGGTGACGGGCCGAACAACCGACAAATTCTCAACTACGACTCGTTGTTCGCCGAACTTGCGCAAATTCGGAAGAGTATGTAAGTAGGTAAACGAATGAGAAATCAATATTTATTTGTACTTTATTTTTAGATGAGTTATTCTTTCAATGACACGCAAGCAAATATGTCATGAGAATACTTGTTTTATAAATACATATATTTTACCTTTTACTATGGGGAAGTTGCTGTTTGTTTTGTTTTTTTTTTTACAAAATTTGTACTACGATTGCCTATGACAGATTATGTGTTCTTTGTCATGCGAAAGAATGAAAAATAAAATGGGAGTTGTTATTAACGAATTTTTAATTAAAGAATGAATATATTTATGGTCTTAAATACATTATAACACAGCTAACAAGATTTTGTTTTCAAAGTTTGCAAGTTTCTTCTTATTAAATAATGAACAATTTATTTAAAATGATCAAATAATATTTTTTCATGTATTAAAAAGAATTTAATTTACATTCACTTCAAAGAAATTCGTTAGTAGTCCTAAAACAAGGGTCGATAGACATTCGTTCCAGCTTTTTCCATTTTAAATCAATATAAGTATTTTGATAATTAATCACTCCATCTTTGCCTTGGGAGACATCGTACGACTTCCATTGAAGACAGTTTTTTGACACAAGAATTATGAGATTGTAAGGCTCTATTTTTCTTTGCAGGAAATCTTTTCATTTCTATGAATAATGCTAGGCAAATTTTGTCAAATTTTTTGACATAAATGGATCAATTTCATACATGATCAGATCTTTTAAATACCATTCACTGCGTCTATACAGTAAACAAGAATATATTTGGGATTCTCCGTTTTGCCAGCTAGTTAACGGTGTCCCCCTGCCTGGTTTAGTTCCCACGCTTGGGGAGGGTGGTAAATGAGACATGCGGCGAACATGGCTTAATTCCCTTCACCGCAACTAGCAAACACACCACTTGCCTGAGCGTTTTCTCATCACACTACACTTCGTCCACAGCAACAGAAGCTGAGGCGATTTTAAAGAAAAGCTACAACTCTATTTTGCCTCGCCTGGAAATCAAACCCGGCAGCACAACAGGGTGAGCTAGTAGGCTGCCCGTAAGCCATAAACGTTAAGCCGAGTCTTAAACGAGAATGGTTCGTATTGAATGAGAAGTAAACGAAAGAGGAGAGCGATGTCACTCACCTGGAAGTAGGGCGACGCAAGCCCGTCTTCGATGACGCAAATGGCGTCTGTGTAGTTGCACGTGAAGACCGAGACATTCTGGTAGCACGGGTACTGCGAGGTGCTGTTCTCTGTCAGGTCGTCGTCGCCACCTCTGCCAACGTCGCCATCGCCCTCACCGTCGTCCATGCCCCAGCCGCCGCCCTTCAAAGAAGCACACAACAAGCCTGATCAGTGCCTTCCGAATGCATTGGAACGTAATAATGGTCCCAAGGATTTGCGATTTTAAAATTGTAACGAAAATCACAGATCTTATTTATTTTTGTCTTGTGAATGATCTATGATGTTTTGTATGTAATTTATGTGTGTTCTCGGAATTTTTCTAGACATTTTCTAAACATTGTTCAGTTTAACAGAGTTTTTTATAATGAAAATGTTATAAGAAAAGAATAAATATATAATTGTCTTTAAAAAATGGCAAGAGACAACATATGAAAATCACAGATGTTGGGTTCTTTAAAGCGACCTTCTAATGATGCGATACGTCAAGAAGACAAAGGATGTTTATTTTTTTATGAAACTACTCTGACGAAAAATCAACAGAGAAGTGTGCCTCTTTTGATTTAGCCGTCTATGCTTACGCTGTGAACTTTATGTGGTTTGCAAAGGATTCTTGTTCCTCGCGGGACACTTAAGTTTCCAGGGGAAACAGGGAAAGTTAGTTAATTAGTTATTTCCTGCATTTGTCGCCAGACAGCGTCGTGAGTTTCCAGGGAGGCAGTGTTCTCTACTTCTCCTAATCTCCGCGCGACTGCTTCGAACTACGAAACCTGAGGCAGTGAATGAATGATGCTCTCCTACAATGCAGTTTGGGCCTCGACCAACTGCCCATCGTATCTATGTTGTACATTAGTGAGGAGGTACTTTGTAATGTACTTCCATTACAAATATACATTTTCAATATATTAAACTGTATCTTGTCATTGATTGTGCAATGAGTAAAAAAAGTTTTCCATGCTTCAATTCATTAACAGAAAATCTTGAATATAAGAGTACTATATGTTGTAACAGTTCTCTTTCTGCCCACATATCTATTATATATTTGTGATTTCAATAAGTGTCTAAGTTGAGAAGTTTTAATATTCAGCAATAGTGTGATACTTTTTCGAGCAGAGAATACAATTTGCATGTGGAAGAGGACAAAATAGCGCTAATATTCGATTTGTAGTGAGCTGTATATTGCGTGAAATGAGGATTTCAAAAGTGCTTTGATTCGATTGGTTGACAGCATCAAGCACATTGTAAAAAATGAATTTGAAGTTTGTGAATCACAAGATTCTCTTAACTTTATCGGAATCTCTAAAATAAATTTAGTCTGTAAATTATTGTTCATTACACACAATTATCAATACATCTGATTTTCTGACTCCTTTATTTATTTTGAAATTCAATTATAAACATTTTTATTTCTCGATTGGACTAAAAAGTATTTTCCGATACAGATCAAGGCAACAATAGAACGGGATCTACTAAGTGAATCTCGAGGATTGATTCTGATAAAAGAACATGATGAACAATTTACATGATTTATCTTATAAAAATAATCCTTTTTCAGGCGTTTCATTAATTATTTAATGTAAGTTTTATAAAACTTGGTTCAATTGGTTCTATATTAATCAAAATTCATTTAATGTAGTTAATGTTAAGAACAGAAATATTTAAAAAATATTGCAGGACTTAATACGCAACAGACTCAGCATTATTCGTATTAAAATCAATAATATTTGTAATGTTGAAATTTTGCAAGAAAACTATTATTTATAACTTGTTTGTAATTTAAAAATAATATTTGGATTCTTTTCGTGATTGCCATTAAGTGCATTTGTCACATGTTTCAAGTACGTTCTTGTGTCATTATTGAAATGATGATTGGGTGTCATTTTAATACGAAGACATCTTTATATACTATTTATTATAATCCATTCATGTAGCTACTAAAGAAACTGACTCGTTTAATACTTTTTGAAGCCCTGAAAACATAAAACAGTTTTTGATCATATTTTCATTCAATGTTCTGGTTCCAAATAGGATATAAGAGGCGATCCGTGTAAGCCTATTTTTCCCTGTGCGCCATAGCCACATTATTGGCCTTTGACCTCTTGGCAGGGTGTTGCGGGTAATGCCATGCGCCGATAATCCTTATTTACTTTTCATGAATAACAGGGTCGGGCGTCGACACCGTTAGTTTTAATTAGCGGTTTGGGCCGCTGGAACGCGCAGTTCGGCGTAACAGGCGCCGTTACCGTACTCTGAATTATACTTTCGAGGCGTAATATTCGTTTAAATGTCATACTTCCTCCGCTTCTACAGTTTGCGAGCAGTTTCTCCTAATTTTCATAATTGTCAGACAAATAATGCATTATAGAGACACTACATATCTACAAGACTACTTCTACAACACAATATGTACTACAAGTTAAGTTCTCTCCTAAGAATTTTTGGATTGTAATCTTCTTCTTGCAAACGACTGATGTGTCAATTTATTTCGTTGTCAGTTTGTTCATTAATATTACTGATATTGTTATGAACAAAAAAGTTATTAATAAAGAGAGGTAGATAGAGAAAGAGAGAAGGAGAAAAAGTGAAAGAAAGAATGAGAGAGAGAAAAAAAGAGAGAAAGAGAAAGAGAGAGAAAGAGAAAGAGAGAGAAAGAGAGAGACAGAGAGAGACAGAGAGAGAAAGAGAGAGAGAAAGAGAGAGAGAGCGAGCGAGAGAGAGAGAGAGAGAGAGAGAGAGAGAGAGAGAGAAATATGCAATTTACTGAACGCACGTTTTGTCGAACAACTGCTCTTGAATTGAATCGTAGTAGTCACACAGCGCTAGTTGTGCTGAACTCGTACTCGTTCGTTTAACTCATCTCTCCTGCTGTTACACTAATACTAGATGCGTTAAAACAATACTTTAACATACTAACAATTTAAACCCGTAAAGAATTAGTAAGTTACAAATACATTCGTTTATCTATCCAAAGTGGATTCCTTTCTGGAACCCACTAACTTTGTATTTCATGTTGCCTAAAATAATCGTCTAAGGAAATGCTGCTTTCTCAAAGCAGACATTTCGCTAATTGGTCTGTTTGTACCTTGTCACTCACGGGACGCTGTCATTTGTTTCTCGCTGTCTGCAGCGTTCTATTGTCTATGGCTCTCATCACCACGTGCAGTCGTAGCGACGCGTTGCAGTTGAAGCAAGAGAATCTCTAAACCGTTGGAAGAAAATGTCTTTTAGAAAATTTACTAAAATAAGAGCATTCTGGCTAGTGGTAATTAGTTGAACTATTTTAAATGTTCCATAGAATGCAATATTGAAATTTCAGTTATGTAACAACAACAAAACAACTGTACACATTAATAATGAATTTTAAAGTTAAACACATAAGTGTAGATTAACGCCGCATTGTACAATATATAATGCACCACACAAATGTTGGGTAATACGCTTAAGTTTACCATTAAGACACTTATAGCTCAGTTTTTTTAATGTTAACGTTCGTATTACTTCGCAATTCAATATACCGACCACGTCATTTTAATTTCACTTCGATGGAATAGTCGCCTTTATCTGACTTCCGTTTCGCCTGGAGTTTTGCATTGCCGCATCTGAGAGCCCGAGAGACTGGGAAGCCATGGAGAGGAGGGGGCAAGGGCGGAATCGCGCAAGCGCTCGTTAACTCTGCAATCTTCGTGTCGTAACGAGCGGACAGACGACAGCCGGCGTGGCTAGCCCGGCGCCTCCTGCGCGAAACGACCCGAAAGGCGCGCTCGGCAAGGAAAGAAAGAAAAGATACAAACCCTCAACAAGTGAAACTTTGAGCATAAAAATGTATCACTCAAGCTGAAGTGTCAGGTAATGAATAGATGACGAAAGTATTAATAATATAGGTGATGGGGAAAATATCTTAATTTTTTTCCAATGATATTGGAATGTTATTCCTGAAACGTTTTTAACCTCAAATTTGTAAAATACCTTAAGTTTTTTTATTTCCTAGAAAATATTTTTTTTCCTTTTCTTTCAGATTCCACCTGGGTTTTGTCTTCGGAAATGCACTTTGAAAGTAGTGGGCGTGCAGAGTCCTTTGAGGCGTGAGGTACGTGAGTACTTCAGTCACGAGAAAGAGCTTGTTTACTAATTGATCTAAACTGCATGCTTTTTATCGATAAAATTAATTTGTGTTCCAAGATCCGAATTATAATTCATATTTCACAGCTTCATTATCAAGTTATTTTTAATACGTTTTTTCTTTTTTACTGTTATTACATGTTCAGAGAGATGGAAAATGTGACAAGTGTTTGATGACTTAGAGAAAACTTAATCTAGTTTAAAATTGATTTGGCTTATTTCAAAATTGGGTGTGGAAACTAAATCTATCTACGAATTATTTTAAGTTTGAAAATATTTAGATGAAAGAATGGAAGGAAAATCTACTGTTGATTTTTGTTTTATATCTGTTTGTTACCTAGTATATAATGAGTAGATGTCTTTATGAAAGGTAAGTTTGTGTAATAGTTGTTTGAAATGAACGCTATTTGATGTGTTATTTCATTTATTTTTAGAGGTTCATGTAGCTCTTTCCTGATGATATATCGTGTAGCGTTTGTTTTTAACCATATTCGTTTTGAAACATTTGCGTGTAATTGAGGTTAGTGTCGGACGCAGTGATCCAGATTGGACAAGAACCAGTGTTTTTCAAAGATCGTACGTATTAGATGAAGTTCTCAGCTGCAAGACATCAGCTGTCCCCACGAATTTCAAAGATCGTTCAGCTTCTAATACGTATTTCGGATAAATGTAATTTGTAAAGAGGAAAAAATCAATTTTATTAATCAAAAGTTACACCTCAAAGCTAAAAATTTAATTTCATAAATCAATAAATCGCCTTTGTTTTTGTCAAAAATACGTAAGACGTAATGAACACAATAAAAAAAGCCGAAAAAATTTAAAGTTGCAATTTTAAAACAAAATCAAGCTCTGCCAATATGAATGATACATGGTTTGATATCATTTTTCAATCTAAAAATGTCATTCCAGGACCTGCATCAGATTCTTGGTAGGTAGTAAAAGGCTTTTTTAAATATCTGTTGTAGTATCAGTAATGCTTTTAGAAAAAAATTGTCTCAAATCAATAATTTGTAGATACCGTATTTAATATTTTAAAACATTACTATTTTCAAAAGTTTTATGAGACTTTGTGGAAGTGTGTATACAGTAAGACCACAGGAGATAATCCTGAACTGAAATATTTCATTACTTGCAGATAGTACTATTTACTCAAACAGCTATTTTAAAATAAACATTTTGCGATCAATATTTTATCTTCTATTAAAAATTCGAATTTTATTAGAACTTTAGCGTTGTCCTGGTTTTATATAACTTTGTCTTTTGAGTTTCAAATCATTGAATACCTCGTTCCATGTGAATGTTAGTCTCGCTCTGAAGGGAAGTTATTTGTGTTAGTTGTCACTATCGTTTATCTCCTCAGAAAATTTTAATGTTCAAAACACTAAAGTTTGCCGACTTATCTGTCGCACAAATTGGATTTCGTTTTTATTTTACGGTTGTTATGAGTATAAAAGAGAGAAATAATAAGATCTGCCTCAGGCCATAACGCAGCTAACAGCTGCGAAATATTTGATTGTTTATTGTGTGAAGGCTCCAAGTAGCCAGAGTCCTGGAAATGTGCTTATTAACTTTTCTTTTCGAAGAAATAATATTCAATTTCTCCTTGTCGCGACAGCGAGAAATTCCCAAACTTAGACCCAATTGAATTACATTCCTTGTTGCTGATGATTTCCTTCTTTATTCGAGTTTCACGTTCTACGGTCTAGAAATGAGAAATAATGGGGAATGCAACACAAGTAATTAGTGAATTATTTCGGTTGTTAAATGTATTCCTAGAATGAGAAGTTTTATATTTCTCATTTTGTTAACGTGAACACAAACTTTTCCTGGGTTTTCGTTTTGCCTGATACTAACCATGTCTAAGCATATATTGTTTTTATATAATTGAGAAATATTAGAACTCGAAAACAAATAGAAGTTCTTAACGGTATTACAAAATTAATGTTTGATAAGGGTGTATTATTAATTTATAGATTTTTATTTTATTTGTGCAATAAAATTAAAATTACTACGTGATGTTTTGTTGAATGATTTAAAATATTAATTAATATTTTTAAATTAATATTTGCTAAACATTGTCATCGAAGTTATGTTGAAGGTAAGGAATAAACTCAAATTCTGACGATATTTCTTGTAAAAAGTATATTATCTGAGAATTTTCTTAAAATTTAATCTTCGTTCTTACTAGCAAACTGCTTTTTAACTCACTTTATCATAAATATTTGATTTACGTGACAATGAAATATTATATTTAAGAGGAAATTACCTGATGTTGAAAACAAATTCACTAGCATCTTACTCTAATGGTTGACACTGTTTAAAATGTCATTCATATCTTCTTACATTTTCGCACGGTGCAGAAAAATAACCTACATTGATCCTTGCGTATATTGTCAATTAAATTTAATTCTACTACGAATGATTTCTGAAGTTACAATTACACTCCCTTTCGATTCAAATTACACTTCTAAAGAAGTTAATTTTTTCTATAAACTGAAACAGTACATTGTTTTTCTGTTGCTCCCAACATTTCTAACAACTTCCATATGAAGCACCTACTTGTAACAACCGGAACTTCTAAAGTCAGTCAGTTATATACATTTCCATCTCCTCGATATATAACGATTGCTGATAGGAAGAAAGTAAAATTAATCTATTCCAATAATCCAAATTCCCGGTGTTCTGAATATTTTATTTTTATGATTTTATCTCACAGCCTCATTCGTACAAAACTAACCAAGTACTACTCCCAATGTTTGTAAGAAATCGCGGGTTAGAGGATTTAAATAAATAATGAAGGATTTTGCATATCTTTCTCGGCAATGTTCAGCCACATTACAATATTTACCCCATTAAAATGTTTGTCTACCTTTAACGAGTCTTTAAAAAATACTCGTATGGTCTTTATCTTTTCTGAACTCACTGTAGGAATTTTTTTTCTAATCTTGGCTTAAGTTAATTCTTCAATGTCTCTAGGAGTAAGCAGGTTATCTTCTAGCCCAAGTGCAATTCCAAATGAAAATGAACTTGGAAGGACTGTAAACTCCTCATTTCGAACTCAATATCTTAAACGTTAGTATATGTTTTTTTCATAACCATGACAAGAAGGTAAAAAGTTCCCCCTGATAGAGATCACCTACTAATTGAGAACCTCTGCCCTTCGCCCCCAACGGGAGCCCCCCCACCCGGTGTAGGTACACGCCCACGCACGGCCCGCCCCAGCGACGACACCTGCGAGGGGTGAAAGCAAAGGCAGGGAGGGGCGAGGGGCGGGGACGGCGTAATGATGACGGGCACGTGGGAGCGCCACCTGACGGGGCTGCTCGGACACAATCTCTCGTAATTACCTTCCCGGGGGCCTTGGCCGGCCTCGGGCCGGACTAAGGAGGCCCTGCTTAATTGTTGGCGCGTCGCCCTGAGTACGGCGCAGCGAGGGCGGGTTGCATGTATGCGGCGGTATGGGGCAGGGAGGGGGTGAAGTAGGGATAGAAACGGAG